AATAAAATTTCAATGTGGAACAATTTTAGAACTTGATATGTTTGTCTTGTAAGCTTAATAACCATTATACAAACTTAAAAACTGATACAAAAAAAGTGGAAAGTGCACTAATTGACCTATAAAAAAAATGTGAGTAGGACCAAGTACCTAATTATGTGAATTGTATGATTTGGGTATTGTGCAGATTGTACTGCCCTATGTGAGCATTTCTTTTGTAGATACATCATCTGGAACAAGTTTTTCACTAAGTGTATGTATAATATTCATTTACTACACTTTATACAAGACTGCTATCACACATATATAGGTCAATTAGTGCACTTTCCACTTTTTTGTATCAGTTTTTATTTTCTGTGTCTTGTGAAATTGTGTCGTTGGCTTCACGGTGGTTACAGCTGCACTGTATTTACTTTAATTTTATAGCGCCTCATTATACCACCATATTCTTTTTTTTTTTTTTACAGAAAACAAACTTGCCACACAAAAGTATATATTTCTAGAAGGTTGACATCACACGCTTTTTGTTCAAGGGTATTTTGACTCTTTTTACATATCCATTTGACTGCCATTCTCTGATAAATATTGTAGTAAAATGTTTTTCTTCAGTTTTTTTAACACACACCAACAAGCAAGGGTTGTTTTTTAAAAATATGTATTTATTAAACCTAATGTATGCTACTCCTGTACAAAACCCCATATTTTGTTTAGCTACATCTTCTGAGTTGAACAGTAACCCCCAACGTATGCCTTTGTCACTATCCTGTGAAGTTACAGTGCCATATAAGCGATCTGACTATTTGAATTTGGATAAATAGATTGGTTGGGCCTATGTTTCATTTTGGGGCATTAGGGTAGTTTGACTGTTCAAATTACCCCTAAAAGGCCTACCATTTGTGAAAGTAGACACTCCACGGTGTCTGATATGTTGTATATTGTGCCTTAATGTGCTGCCATGCATTCACCAATTTACTTCAAAGTTAGTGATAAAATATTTCTTCATGCATTTTATTTTACATACAGATTATATTTTGCTGGGAATTTTACAAATCTGATATGTGCCACTAGGCTCAATCCCCCCTCCCTAATTATGCACAAAAAAACTATTGTGAATAAAAAGAAAAAGGCACTGTATTGTGAAGTTAGTGCCACATAAGAGAGATGACTATTTTAGTTTTCATAGTTAGAATTTTGATAGATGAACTTGATGTCCTACTTTGTACTTTGGGGCACTGTAGCAGTTTGACAGTTAAAATTACAGTATAAGCACATACCATTTGTAAAAGTAGACACCATGGGGTATGTCATATGGTATATTGTGTGCCTTTTTATAGAGACATTTTATTTTCGCTTTTTGTTACATGCACATTGCAATTTAGTGGTTTATTTTGTAAACTTAATATGTGCTAGTTTAATATAAATTACTAAACTGTGTACAGAACGACCCCCTTTGCATTCCCTTGCCAAGTCTTTGTGAAAACACAGGGCAAATTGAAGATGGGTTTATGGTGCATTTTGTGGCATTTTAGTAGCCCACATATTTAAATTAACACACTGTAGCAGTTAAATCAGGAATATTAGATGCGTTCCGAACAAAATCATAAATTTAAAAATGTAATGTGCTTATTTTAAACGAGTGAATTAAGACAAGTGTTGATTCATTTTAATACCTTAAATTTCAGAATCTAAAGTGCTTATTTTTAGACAAGTGGATTAAAGCGCTAGTGCACACAATCCATTTAGTGTGTTAAGAATGCACTTAAAACATACACAAACTTTTTAACCAATAAAGTGCTCAAATGACCTGCCATTCAAAGGGCAAACACAATATAAAAGTGTATTTTGGTCATACTTAACAGTATGGAAGAAATTAAACTGGATGTTTAAAACCTACAAGACAAAAAAAATATGACAATAATGCAGATGGTATATATAAGCGAGATCATTTTTTCTATCAGATAAAACCCTAAAGTGCCAACTCTTTTAAAAGAGGGGGACTCCTGAAAGACAAAAAAACACTTGAATTCTTTTAACTTTTCTGACACATTAAATTAGTCTATAATAGCATGCCATTTGCAAAAAATTATATCACATGATATATTTTAAGCTTTATTTGGAAGCCATTTTTTCACTATTGTTTTCAGTTTGTGGTATTGTTTTGTTTTTTTCAATGTTTACATTTTTGCTGCTTATTTTTTAAATAATGTGTCCCATTGTGATAAAATTTCCCTTAACCATTCTTAGCAACATTTCCTGAGCACAATACCACATATGTATACCTATACAAAGTAACAATCTTAATCCTATCTCTAATCTTAATCCAAACCCTAATTCTAATCAAAATCCTATTCCTAACTCGTACCCTAATCTTATACCTAACTTTAATCCAAACCCTATCAATACTGTTAGAAGGATTTTCTTAAATTAATGAGACATAGAATTCTGTAATGGGGTCCTAAATAACATGATAGCATAGAACATAATTTGTCATTATAGGTTTAATTAAGATTTACTTATATCCTATGTGAGTTTATTTTTAACGAAGCTACATGACAGCACAGTAAGTATGCCCAAATACATAGAACAAACAGAGAAAATGGTATAGACATATTACTAGACCTTAGAGTGGCCGGGTTTAACGTGCAAAAGAGAGAAATTGTAGTTAATATGCAAGCCAAGGTTAGAGTAAAAGACAGACAGATAATCATAGATTAAAAAAAATTAAAAATTCAAGAAACCACTGTGGTACTCCGCAGATGTGGCCAAAATAGTTAAAAACAAAAAGTTAGCATTTAGGAATTATAAAAAAACCCAGAGTGAGGAAGACAAAATGATCTATAAGATTAGGCAGAAAGAGGCTAAACAAGTTATAAGAGCTTCCAAATCACACACAGAAGAGAAAATAGCACAGTCAGTAAAAAAGGGGGATAAAACATTTTTTAGATACATAAATGAGAAAAGAAAAATAAAACAAGGATTAGTTAGATTAAAAACAAAAGGAAGGTATGTAGAAGAGGATAAAGGTCAGGCTGACTGCCTCAATGAATATTTTTGTTCTGTATTTACAGAAGAAAATGAAGGAAAGGGACCTCAGTTGAGAAAAAGGATAAATGAGTCATTTATTACCCGTGAGTTTACAGAGGAAGAGGTTCTATTTCAACTGTCAAAAGTAAAGACAAATAAGTCAATGGGACCTGATGGAATACACCCAAAGCTATTAAAAGAGCTTAGTGGTGTACTAGCAAAACCATTAACAGATTTATTTAACCAATCATTTTTAACAGGAGTAGTCCCAGAAGATTGGAAGTTAGCAAATGTTGTACCCATTTACAAGAAAGGTAATAGGGAGGAGTCGGGCAACTATAGGCCAGTAAGCCTTACTTCAGTAGTGGGGAAAGTGATGGAAACCATGTTAAAGGATAGGATTGATGAACATCTAAAAACACATGGATTTCAAGATCAGAGACAACATGGGTTTACTCCAGGGAGATCATGCAAAACTAATCTTATTGATTTTTTTGATTGGGTAACTAAAATTATAGATCAGGGTGGTGCAGTAGACATTGCTTACCTAGATTTCAGTAAGGCTTTTGACACTGTTACACATAGAAGGCTTATCAATAAACTGCAATCTTTAAGTTTGGATTCCAATATTGTTTAATGGGTAAGGCAGTGGCTGAGTGACAGGCAACAGAGGGTTGTAGTTAATGGAATATATTCGAAGCTTGGACTTGTCACCAGTGGGGTATCTCAGGGATCTGTACTTGGACCCATTCTCTTTAATATTTTTATTAGTGATATTGCAGAAGGTCTTGATGGAAAGGTATGTCTTTTTGCTGATGATACTAAGATATGTAACAGGGTTGATATTCCAGGAGGGATAAGCCAAATGGCAAATGATTTAGGTAAACTAGAAAAATGGTCAGAATTGTGGCAACTGACATTTAATGTGGATAAGTGCAAGATAATGCATCTTGGACGTAAAAAACCAAGGGCAGAGTACAGAATATTTGATAGAGTCCTAACCTCAACATATGAGGAAAGGGATTTAGGGGTGATTATTTCTGATGACTTAAAGGTAGGCAGACAATGTAATAGAGCAGCAGAATGCTTGGTTGTATAGGGAGAGGTATTAGCAGTAGAAAGAGGGAAGTGCTCATGCCATTGTACAGAACACTGGTGAGACCTCACTTGGAGTATTGTACACAGTACTGGAGACCGTATCTTCAGAAGGATATTGATACCTTAGAGAGGGTTCAGAGAAGGCCTACTAAACTGGTTCATGGATTGCAGGATAAAACTTACCAGGAAAGGTTAAAGGAGCTTAACATGTATAGCTTGGAGGAAAGACGAGACAGGGGGGATATGATAGAAACATTTAAATATATAAAGGGAATCAACACAGTAAAGAAGGAGACTATATTTAAAAGAAGAAAAACCCCCACAACAAGAGGACATAGTCTTAAATTAGAGGGACAAAGGTTTAAAAATAATATCAGGAAGTATTACTTTACTGAGAGGGTAGTGGATGCATGGAATAGCCTTCCAGCTGAAGTGGTAGAGGTTAACACAGTAAAGGAGTTTAAGCATGCGTGGGATAGGCATAAGGCTATCTAACTATAAGATAAGGCCAGGGACTAATGAAAGTATTTAGAAAATTGGGCAGACTAGATGGGCCGAATGGTTCTTATCTGCCGTCACATTCTATGTTTCTATGTTTCTATCTGGGTCAGGATAAAAGAAAATTGTGAAAAACTAGCTTAGTCAGGGTTATAGAGATACTCAGATCCAGAAACAAGCCAAGGTACAAACCAGAAACACAAAGTAATAAGTGCTAAACGGACACTAAAACAGAAAGCACGATAGGACACAGTAAATGGGGTCAGAACACTTTAAATAGGCTTAGGCGGATACTGATTGGCAGTTGTAACTCCTGCAACTCCAAAACATATGGGAACAATGTTGTAAGAGTGACATAGATAACGTTGACCTGGAAATTATACGTTTAATGTATATATGGACATACTCTGGGCATAAGCATCATCCAGAACACTATTCAGAGGTGGCGGAGTGCAATATTCACCCAATCAACGCAGTTGAGCCTCCCTACACATGATGAGTCTGTTGACTTCTAGGAACCTAAATGCATTTACCATCAAGCGGGTGAAAACAATTATTGGAATTTATATAATAAGCAACTGTGGACAAAGTTCTAAAATCGGAGAACTCTTCCCTATAACTGATCTATATAAATAACCCAATTTAATATTCTGTGTTTACCTATTAATATTGAACCAGTAGCAAGATTTATCTCGTGGTTCATCGATAAAGTTATTTTTGCATTGATTTTGGAAGTTACATTTGAGGGGTTTAGTTCATGTTCTAACCTTAGCAAATATATATTAGTAAACAGCAATTACCCCATTCTTAGTCCACTTGAAGTCCAGCAAAAAAAAAAAAATAAGTCCATAAAATCTATTTTGTGAAGATGTATTGTTTATGAGATACGTAAATGTCCCTTTGTCTAGAAATAGGTTATTCATAAAGTTAGAAAATGGTAAGTGCATGCATGTGGAGACATTATATATAAAACATCATCTGGTCAATCATTTCAAAATCCTTGTATTCATTGTGTTCCTTTTATAAGTGCAGCTTATTGTACAGATCCCCTCTATTTACGTAAATTTCCTTTACTACTGATGTCACTGTTACCCTGGAGACCAATGTCAGCATTTTATGGGCTTGCTGCCTGCACTGCTGATTTTTATTTCATCCTAGCTCACTTGTGCCGGACTTTGAACATTTCTTGTGTTGTCATTTACAATTATGCAGAGTAAAACTGTACAGTTTATTCTCCAACTGTTTTTCTAACGTCTTTTATTTTTTTTTCCAGCTTGGTTCAGGTATTTTATGATATTTTACAAAGATTACCATTAAAAGTGTTTTACTTATTTCAGTAAACAAATTTAAATGAATCCAAATGTATCATAATAAGGTAGTAGAATGGTACCATTTAACATAATTAAATTTTACTCTTATATAATACAATATTATATTAATAGAAAATTAATTTAGGAAATAAACAATAAAAATAATAATTTATGGATTTTCTCTTATTGCCATGGTAGATATATTTTATTTGCGCACTGATCTAGAGAGGTGCACTTTAATGTCATTAGCCTCATCTTGCTTTGATTATTATGCTTACTGGAAAAAAAATATTACAAATATCATTGGTAATAAGAAACAACAAGAGTTAAATTAGAATAACAGACACAACAAAACTCTAAGCAAGATGTGCACTTAAGCCTATTATAGTCTATTATAGGTGTATGTGTATATATATACAGTTGCAAGAAAAAGTATGTGAACCCTTTGGAATGATATGGATTTCTGCACCAATTGGTCATAAAATGTGATCTGATCACAAAGGAGGTTCAACCAAATCCAAGGGTTCACATACTTTTTCCACCTGCACTGTGAATGTTTACATGGTGTGTTCAATAAAAACATGGCAACATTTCATTCTTTGTGTGTTATTAGTTTAAGCAGACTGTGATTGTCTATTGTTGTGACTTAGATGATGATCAGATCACATTTTATGACCAATTTGTGCAGAAATCCATATCATTCCAAAGGGTTCACATACATTTTCTTGTAACTGTATATATTTATATATATATACACACACACTTAAAATAGAAAATCTGGTTGTAGGTGTCCTCCATACATTATATAGATATCCTTAAGGTTTTTATTAGATGTCTGCAGCCATTGCATGCACTCCTATTTTAACCCACCCAAGACTTTCTGTGGTTGTCCAATTACAGACTTTCCAGTGTAGCTCAATGAGAAGTCTTTGCAAATGGTAATTGCTACCTCTTGAGCTTAGCCCCACTGAGCTAACCAAACCAGGAAGTAACAGGACCGGTTGTCTGATTGACAGACAGGTGGATATAACAATGTTCATTTTTATAAGCATCAATTTCTATTGATAGCTGCAGTTTTTGTAAAAACATTTTTTAAAAAGGACACCCTCTTCACACATAAAGCCCTTCAGCAAGCTGAAATGTGGCTAGAATGTCCCTGTTTTGGGCTCTTGTCTCAGCATCACAGGTTTGTGGGGCACTAGGGAACTGTAGCCATAAAGGAATGTAAGAGTACATCATTAGACATTCTTGAGCATTTGGACAATACAGAAAACACATTAGTGCATATAACAGTGACCGTGTGTAAATGAAAGTGTACTAGCAAATAGCATGTAGCAAAAACATACTTTAGATTAAGTTGTCCATAATTAAATCTTGTGGAAAAGTCCCAAGAGTGTTTATTATTAACCCCTTAGTGACCAGACCGTTTTTCAATTTTCTTACCGTTAGGGACCAGGGCTGTTTTTACATTTCTGCGGTGTTTGTGTTTAGCTGTATTTTTATTACTCATTTACTGTACCCACACATATCATGTACAGTTTTTCTTGGCATTAAATTGTCTTTCTAAAGATACCATTAGTTACATCACATCATATAATTTACTATATAAAATTTATAAAATATGATGAAACAATTGAAATAAACACTTTTCTAACTTTGACCTCCAAAATCTGTTACACATCTACAACTGCCAAAAAAACACCCATGCTAAATAGTTTCTAAATTGTGATCTGAGTTTAGAAATACCCAATGTTAACATGTTCTTAGCTTTTTATTTTGCAAGTTATAGGGCAATAAGTACAAGAAGCACTTTGCTATTTCCAAACCATTTAAAAAAAAAATAAAAAAATTAACAAGTTACATTGTAACACTGATACCTGTCAGGAATCCCTAAATAACCCTTCACATGTATATATTTTTTTAATAGAAGACAACCTAAGGTATTAAACTTGGGGTATTTTGACTCTTTTCATGCAACCATTTTACCACCAATCTATGCCAAATTTAAAAGAAAATAATAATTGGTGATTTTTTTGACACACATAGTAATTTAAGAATACATGTACTGAGAACTTTAAGGGTTACTGCCAAAGAACATGCCAATATGTGTTCAGCAACATCTCCTGAGTACAGTGATACCATCCATGTATAGGTGTGTCGGGTTCTCTGGGGGCTAAAAGACCTTATTTGGAGGTTGCGCATTCCAGTTTTACAACTTGGAATTTTCACAGCTGGTCATCATGCACCCATGTCATATTTTGGACATTTTTTAAACCGGCCAATGTAATTTACCCCCTTCAAACTTTTTGAAAAGTAGACACCCTAGGGCATTTCAAATTGTGGTATTTTAACACTTTCCATGCAGTAATTCTACCACCAGTCTTTGTCAAACTTTTGGGTAGTAATGTTTTGTTATTTTTCACACACTTTATTATTATTATTATTATGTTATTTATATAGCACCATCAAATTCCGCAGCGCTTTACTGGACGAACAGACATGTAGTTGTAACCAGACAAGTTGGACACACAGGAACAGAGGGGTTGAGGGCCCTGCTCAGTGAGCTTACATGCTAGAGGGAGTGGGGTAAAATGACACAAAAAGGTAAGGATAGTATTAGACTAGTACCAGTTGCAGAAGAAGAATCAGTCGGGAGCTATTAACAGTTTAATTGATACGCTTTTATGAAGAAGTGGGTTTTTGACGATTCTTTGAAGGAGTGGAGACTGGGTGAGCATCTAACGGAGGAGGGAAGCTTGTTCCACAGGAACGGTGCAGCCCTCGAGAAATCTTGAAGGCGAGCATCAAAGGTGGAAGTACGGACAGAAGATAGACGTACGTCTTCAGCAGATCGTAAAGGCCTAGACAGGACATACTTGTGTATAAGGGAGGACAGATAGGTGGGAGCAGCATTATGTAATGATTTGAAAGCAAGAACCAGAATTTTAAATTGCGCTCTATATTTTATAGGAAGCCAATGTAGGGACTGACAGAAGGGTGAGGCATGGGAGGTGCGGGCGGACAGGAAGATGAGCCTCACTGCCACATTCATTATGGACTGTAACAGCACAAGTTGGGAGCACGTAAGACCACTGAGAAGCGTATTACAGTAGTCAAGGTGAAAAAGGACAGTGGAATGGACCAATTCCTTAGTCGCATCTGTTGTTAAGTAGGAGTGGATGCGCGCAATGTTTTTGAGATGGAAATGACAGGATTTGGCGATAGACTGAACATGAGGCTTGAAGGACAGGTCGGATTCAAAGAGAACACCTAGGCAGCAAGCCTGCGTGGTGGAGCTGATGGTAGCACCGTTGACTTGGAGGGAGGGAGACACAGGAGTAACAACACTTGAGGGAGGAAACACCAGAATTTCAGTTTTGGTCAAGTTTAGTTTAAGGAAGTGGGCAGCCATCCAGTTAGAAATAGCAGAGAGGCAGTCAGAGACACTAGTCAAAAGGGACTGGGAGAGATCAGGAGAGGACAGGTAGATTTGCGTGTAATCTGCATTGAAATGATTTCGGAAGCCAAAGGAGCTAATGAGTTTACCAAGGGAGGCAGTATAGATGGAGAACAGTAGGGGACCAATGACTGAACCTTGGGGGACACCAACAGAGAGGAGTTGGGGAGAAGAAGCAGAGCCAGAAAAAGAAACATTGAAAGAGCGCTGGGAGAGGTAGGAGGAGCACCAGGAGAGAGCAAAACTTGTAGACCGATATTGAGGAGGATGAGAAGAAGCTGTTGATGATCAACAGTGTCAAAAGCCACAGACAGGTCAAGGAGAATTAGGATAGAGTAGTGACCACGAGATTTTGCAGCGAGTAGATAATTGGATACTTTGGTCAGTGCCGTTTCCACAGAGTGCTTAGCGCGGAAACCAAACTGAAGCGGGTCTAGCAGAGAGTTGGACACGAGGAAGTCTGTCAATCTTGCATACACAATTCTTTCAAGGATCTTGGATGCAAAAGGCAGCAGCGAGATAGGACGATAGTTGGATGGGGAGTTAGGGTCAAGTTTGGGCATCTTTAGAATTGGGGTTACAGTTGCATGTTTGAAGGGCGATGGAAATATACCAGAGGAGAGAGAGAGATTGAGAATTTTAGTGAGAAGTGGAGAAAGAGAAGAAGACAATGTACAGATGAGATGCGAGAGAATTGGATCTAGGGAGCAGGTGGTGGGGCGGGAGGACTGGAGCAGAGCAGAAACCAATGTAGCGGGTGCGAATGAACATAGAACAGCAGAGGGAGTGAAGTTAGAGGAAGTATTGTAAGGGGAAGAAGAAAGATGAGAGATCTCTTTTCTGATTGTAGAGATCTTGTCAGTGAAGTGAGTTGCAAAGTCAGAGGTGGTCAAATTAGTAGGTGGAGGAGGAACAGCAGGGCTAGGAAGAGAGTTAAATGTGTGAAACAGTTGTTTGGGTTCGCGGGAGAGTGTGGTTATGAGGGTATTGAAGTAATTAACTTTTGAGGAGGAAAGAGCCAAGCTGTTTGAGCTCAGCATAAATTTATAGTGGAGAAAGTCAGATACACAGTAAGACTTTCTCCAACAGCGTTCAGCAGTCCTGGAGCATTTTTGGAAGTATCGAGTGAGCTTTGTGTGCCAGGGTTGTTGTTGGGGACGCCTGCCGCATTTAAATGTACAAGGTGCCATGATGTCTAGTTGAGAGGAGAGTGTGGAATTGTAGAAGGAGGTTGCAGAACTAAGACTGGTGAGGTTTGAGATAGGTAAAAGGAGAGTTTGGAGATTAGTGGAGAAATGCTCTAGGTCAAGACATTGGAGGTTTCTGTGAGAGTGATGTTCAGACGGTGGTGTCAATTGGGTCTTAGGTATGCCAATGTCAAAAGTCAGCAGATGGTGGTCAGATAGAGGAAAAGGAATATTGGAGAGATTAGAGGCAGTACAGAAGTTGGTGAAGGCAAGATCAAGAGTGTTTCCTGCTGTATGGGTTGCTAAATTGGACCATTGCGTAAGGCCAAAGGAGGAGGTTACAGAGAGCAGACAAGAGGCATCAGTGCAATTGGGGTTATTGATTGGGATATTGAAATCCCCAAGTATAAGGGAAGGAGTGCTAGATGAGAGGAAGTGGGGAAGCCAGGAAGAAAAGTGCTCAATGAATAGTCTAGGATAACCGGGGGGGCGGTAGATGATAGCAATTCTTAAAGGAGTGGGTTTAAATAGGCGGACAGTGTGAACTTCAAAAGAAGAAAAGGATAGGGCAGGGGGAGTTATGATTGGTTGAAAGGTACATTGAGGGGAGAGAAGGATGCCTACGCCGCCTCCTTTACAGTTGAGTCTGGGAGTGTGAGAGAATTGTAGCCCACCAAAACATAAAGAGGCAGGAGTAGCGCTATCAGAGGGGGACAGCCAGGTCTCTGTAAGTGCAAGCAGTGTGAGTGAGTTTGAGATGAAAAAGTCGTGTATGGTTGTTGATTTTAAATTACTGCAGATGGAGCGGGCATTCCAGAGTGCACAATTAATTTTGGTAAGTGAGGGTAAAGGGCAGGGTATTGTGATGAGGTTTGTGGGGTTTCTGGTTGTCTTAGTGTGTGTAGAGAAGGTGAAGGGCCCTGGATTGGGAGAGACATCACCAGCTGCTAGAAGCAGGAGGAGAGAAAGTGACAAGAGGTGTGAATGGGTTTTGTATGCATGGGGTCTAGGATGAGATCGATTGTGGGTCGGAGTGAGAGTTGAAAAATGAGTGTAAGGCATGACATGAGAGAAGGGGGGAGTGTAGCAGAGAGGGGCATATGTAAGTGTGGATGAGGGGATGAGTGAAGTAGGTGTAAGGAGAGATTTTTATACTGAGGGAGACTGAGGAAATAAAGAGGAGGAGAAAACAGATCATTGCTAAACTGTAAAGGTAGGAAAAATATTATGTTTTATGGCAAGACCATTTAATTTTATCTCACATATATATTATTATTATTAAATGCTCTTGCATAGCAAGGACACTTAATGTTATCTCACATATATATTATTATTATTAAGTGTTCTTGCATAGCAAGACCACTTAATGTTATCTCACATATATATTATTATTATTATTCTTATTATAGCAAAATTTACCACCCTAACTCCTCCCACAGTTTTTACACTACATAGACCGTAATATGCTATTACTTTGTGGAACGTTTCGCCGAATAGTTCACGGAATATTCGTTCTTGTTGCAAAATTGGTCCCATAGGAATGAATGGCAAACTGTTCAAAACTAGAGTGGGAGCTGGCAAAAGCTGAAAAATCAGGACATGATTTCTAAACTGACACCACTCCCTCATTTTCAAGCCCACCTACACAAATCTTATATCAAAACGTTCAGCTATCCCTGCTGCCACTAAAAATGTCCACGGCTAAGCCATAATCCTGATCATTTTCACAATATGACCATTTGTTTGGGCAATTTCTAAACTGTGACTGTGCCTTCATTTTTAATATTTCAGAGACATACTATGCATCAAAATGTAGGTCTGGGTCTTGATTCTCACAATATAAAGCTCTTCGCTGTAGGATTTATAGTTTTTAAAATATGATGGCACCCGCCAAAATACTCTGACCTGTGCCAGGCTGGAGCAGCAAGTGATGTCATTGACAGGGCCTTTTGTACACCTGCTAATGTTTTTATAAATGTATGTTTTAATGTAACTGTGAAGCACTTTGGGCAACAACATTGCAATTAAATGTGCTATATAAAGAAATAATAGTTACTCCGCCCACTCCAGTTGCAGACTACTGGTGGAGGCAAGAACACTTCACACAATTTCCCCAGAAATTGTAGCTTTTCTAGTTTCTTTTATTTTACTTTATTATTTAATTTTGTATTTTTCTTTGCTCCTCCCTTCCCACTTCCCCATTTACTGCATAACGACTTGTGGCATATGATGCACTGGGACACGCTTTCCCCCCTGGGTTCACTCGCGACTCGCGAGCAGGACCTAGTGTAACTTCCCACCAGGGATATCTGTGAGAACTTGCATAGGCATTAATATAACTGCTACTCAGACCACGAAGACCGGTAGTAACTGGCCGGCCATCGGGACATGCCACACTACATTTGGCACAAAGGCTCTCGTGCTCTGGTGCAACTCAACTCAAGGGCCCTAAGCTGCTTACGAATTTATCCTTCATCTCATTAAGATTTCTTTTTTATTGGGTACTCCACAAAGAGCCACACACTTAGCATCTCCTAGAGAGGTAGGCAACCAAACCCCAACCCCCCAAAGGCCCTAACAACATAGATGTAGCGGCATCCACCGCAACACCGCACGCTATGATAATGACACACAATCCTGAGGTACCCACATTAACCCTGCTTTAACCTGTCTTGTCTATCACCCTAGGTTAACTTTACAGCATTTCTATATAATACATTTATAATTATTACTGTAAAATGTGCTGCTTATTAAGACTGACACTGTTGTTCGTCCATATCTTGTTTGAAACGAATGTTGTGAAACAATTGCTGATTGTGATGAGTGCACAACAAAAATAAAGAATAAAACTAAAAAATGTGTATTTCTGTACAAGGGTTGCAGCAAGAAATATTAACATTTTTAGAAACTCTTATATAATGTGTGTTTTTTGAAAGGTGAGAGGGAAGTTGTAATCAACCTAGAATCCCTCCTTCGTGGCCAGCTTTGACACTCGAGATGGGAACAAAAGGCATAAAAGTTATGACATGTAAATGAGCTGTATTCTTGTTGGGAGTTGAATTTTATTTTAGCAAGTTCCCATTTTCTCTACCGGTATCTCCCTGGGGCAGAAGATACAATTACTGTACTGTACAAAGTGAGTAAATATGAATTTCTGTAAATATTCATGTGACCTATAGAGACCTATTTAATAATATCTATAATTGCATAGATAATTTACTAAGTTGTGTTTGGTTCCTCCAAGCAAATCAGGTTTCAAAAAACCCACAAAGGCACCTCTTTTGTAAATTGCCTTGGTGGTGGCAGCTTTTGATACTAGAGTTAAGTGTGGGTGGTGTTAGGGCGGATTTTTTAACATCACTATTTTAGATCTAGTGTGCGATCACAAAAATTATGTATTTTCTGAGTTCTGATGCACACACATTTATCCCTAACTTCTTGGTGCCTTATTATGACATCATATATAATGTGGACTTACCTATTAGTCTCCTTTTATAGTGTCAGCCCATGTGTCGCTTTTTGATGATGTGTACAGGCTTGTGACATCACAGTCCTCTGTGACCAATCGTTACCCAGTATAGGGTATATATAATTCCTGGTTGTCCTTGTTTCCTTGCCCTGTCATGGTTTTTGTTACCTGAGAGAGTGTGTTTATACAGTGTATTGGATTTCCTGTTTTCTGACCTTGGTTTGTTTGACTTTTCTTGCTCTCTTGTTATCCTGATCTTGGCCTGGCTATTGATTCCGTGTATTTCAGTAATCATGACCTCTGCGTGTCTCTCGTTCATTCTCTGTCTGCTTGCAGACATTTCATATATCTGTCTCAGGCACTAACCTGGCCACTCTAAGGGCCGGTACGTGTACCTTTACTTTTACCTTTAGGTTTGCATGTTAGGGTAACTCTATTCCTGACAGCCAGTGGCAGAACAATATTTTGAATGATGTCATATTACGGCTCCCGATATCACCACAGAGAGAGCAGTGAGGAACTGGAAGATAAGCGCTCCCTCACTACCACCTGCCGCCTTCTTCCCCCGAGTATATTTTGGAAGAGTAGGCACCTGCTGTTGAGGTAAGAAGGTGCCTTCTCTGTCTGAGGGAATAAGTAACCACTCTGGGGATGCCATAAGGTAGCCAATCAGCCACCTTAGGGCGCTCTGTGACAGATCATTGGCCTACTTCTCTCTGCCCCTCAACCCTCCAGAACCAAGTTGTGGGCAGAATTTAAGTACTGTGGTCTATGATGCAGGAGGTGCAGCATTTAGATTCACTTATGTACTATTCTCCACAGAACTATGCACACAATGTAGGCAGGGCAGCAATAGGTCAAAGCCCAAAGCTAATATGGAAGTACACTATAAAGCCACAACATTAAAACCACTGACAGGTGAAGTGAATAACATTGATCAAATCGTTAGAAAGCCGTCTGTCAAGGGGTGGGATATATTAGGCAGCAAGTTAATAGTCAGTTCTTGAAATTCATGTTTTGGAAGCAGGAAAAATGGGCAAGCAAAAAAATCAGAGTAATTTTGACAAGGGCCAAATAGTAATGGCTTGATGAATGGGTCAGAGCATCTCTAAAATGTCAAGTCTGGTGGGCTGTTCCTGGTATTCAGTGGTTAGTACTTATAGTAGTTAGTGGTGCAAGGAAGGAAAACCTGTGAACTGGCGTCAGGGTCATGGGCACCCAAGGCTTACTGATGCCCGTAGGGAGAAAAGGCCCAAGAGCTGCTGTAGCTCAAACATCGCAATTTACTGTATATAATGCTGCAGCCCTGTCAAGAGTGCCCATAATGACTTCTGTGCACCTCCGAAAGTGCCTTCAATGAGGATGTGAGCATCGGACCTGGACCATGGAGCACTGGAAGAAGGCTGTCTGGTCCATTTAGATCTGGTAGATGGTTGGGTGCCTGAGTGTCATTTACCTGGGGTACTGGCATTCATGTATTATTAATATTATTATTGCCATTTATATAGTGCCAACAGATTCCGTAGTGCTTTACAATATACAAGAGGGGGGATTTAGCTATAAATAGGACAGTTACAAGAACAAATACAGGAACAATAGGTTGAAGAGGACCCTGCTCAAATGAGCTTACAGTCTATAGCATGTCGATGTTACTTTGACATGTACCACTTACCTATAGATTGTTGCCGACCATTTACACCCCCTTCATAGCAATGGTGTTCCATGAAGCAGTAATGTGTATAAGCAGGATAATTCATTCTGCCAGGCTGCAAAAACGGTTTAGAAACGGTTAGAGGAACATGAAAAAAATGGGTTACCTTGGCCTCCAAATTCCATAGATCTCAATCAAATTAAGGATGTGCTGGAACAACAAATCCGTACCACGGAGGTCACACCTCGCAATTTGCAGGACTTAAAAGATCTGTTGCTCATGCCTTGCTGTCATATACCACAGGACACGTTCGTACATCTTCTGAAGTCCATGCCTGTACACATCAGAGTTGTTTTGGTATCTTGAGGGGGACCTACATGATATTAGGCAGGTGTTTTTAATCTTGTAGCTGATCAGTGTATGACTCCTTTTGTTAGAATATGTACATAGCCTATTCTTTTCACAACGTATAGCTTCTAGAACCAGAACCCTGTAATGACTACAATCGAAAATGAGCAAGCTTTAACTGGTATATTTTTATTGTCCATGATTTCCCACTTGAAGATTGATAGGATATGATGTAATATCTCTGAACATCCTTTACACTTCTTCTCCTGCCATTGTTTTACATGCATAAACATGATCTCTATTCACTTATCAAAGATACAATATTCTTACTTTATTGGTATTACTGATCTTCTTTCGTATCAATAGAAACAAAATCTTATCAAACAAATAAGGGTAACAATGGTTCAAACTGATTTAGATAGTAAACTTTTTTTTATTTTAAATTAGTACTTTATTTTTGTTAACACAGAACAAAAGGAAAACCCAGTCTTAGTCCAATTGACAGATTCTTGCCACCTACGTGCAATATGGTTCTTTGTAATTGCATGCTGTCGAGAAATACCCACACATAAATATAAAGTCAAACCATTTGCTGGAATCACTGTTTTGGATTTGCACGATGAACACAATTTTCAGTAAAGACCATTTGCTTGTCCTTGGATACAAACTTATTTTTTTTAATCTACATATTTACATGTTTTTGCTTTACTTCAGACAGTCATCCAACATTACTTAGCATGCAGTTTTCAGGACTTTTTGTTTACACATATGTTTGCGCACAGTGGTGTATTTTGGATTTGTGCTGCCCTAGGCAAGACTAAAATAGGGCACCCCCTAATCTAAATTTGCCCCACCTTACTCACCTCCTTTCAATTCCACACCTCTTCCTATTTAGGATCAACACACACTTTGACTAAAATACACAAACTCACAGACACACATTCTCATTGATTTGACACACACTCACTCACATAGACACACTGACAGACACACACACACTCAATTTCTCATACGCTAATACATTATTTTATTGTTTTATTTAAATCCAACCTCCCAACCGTTGGAAGAGTTGGGGTGGATTATTTCCCTGGGGTCCAGTGTGGCTGCTGGGTTCCTGTGGCTGCTGGGCTTGCAATGGAGGCAGCAAAGGAGCTGTAATCTTCTTGCTCTGCTCCCTCACGCGCCGATTAGTAATGCCAGGGCTGGAGAGATGTCATATTTTGGCTCCTGGTATCACAGCCGGCCGTGCAAGGGAGCAGAACTAGTAAATCACCGATATCAGCTCTTGTGCCCCCCATGACACGAGGCTTGCCGGGGTGTTTGGGGGGGGGGGGGTATTTTTTGCTGCCCCCCCTGGAAAGTGTGCCAAAGACAAATGCCTTGTTAGTGTCGTGGTGAGTATGTGTGTCCAAAAGGTAAAGATTTTTAATACAGGACCACGCCGTAGACGTAATTGTTGCTAGGCCAACAACAGTTTAATAGATGTAGATCAGGGATAGGCAACCTTCAGCACTCCAGACGTTGTGGACTACACAATAATGCTGCCAAAGCATCAAGAGAGATGTAGTCCACAACATCTGGAGTGATGAAGGTTATCTACCACTGAATTAATAGCCAATTTTAGCCACCTTACTCCTCAAGGAAATTAATACCTTTATGATGATGTTCAAGGCAGTATTATATAGTAGAATAAACCAATGCTTCAATCTTCAAACAGGACTTCCTTCCCTTCAACCGATGCAGCATTGAAATGGGCTTATTGCCTTTATGCATTCTGGAATAAAATCCCCTTTTCACAGATTTTCACAGTTGGGGGGGTCTCTGGCTTTCCTTGAAAAGAAAACTATTATTGATAGTCAGTCAGCCCTAGTGTCTACATTCTCTATCAAGTATGGAATTAAAATGATGAACATTAAAAGAAAGCTTGTCAATGGTTAATTAAAAATAACTTTAATTATGAAAATATTACAACTATTTATTCATTGTCAAGACTGAACCTTTGAGCTGTAGGGTTTGATTAATTATGAAAAAGAAACAAAGATGTGAGAAAACCTAATTGCTTACTTTTTTTTTAGTCCCCACTCAAGTTTCAAACAAGTATTGCTTCCATGTGTCATTACAGAGAAAATCTATTCCATTTTCATATCAAGCTAACCCCACACACTAGCTCTGATCACTGAGGTGTAGCCAACATGCCTGGAATAATTCTTGCTTACTCTACTCTGGATTTGACTGCATTTTGGGTACACATTTTGGCTGATATCATATTTGCTGCCCATACAATTTAATGTTTGTTCAAATAAAGTTATGTATTAAAAAAAACTGCTTGAAGTGCGCTGTTTGTTAAACCAGCCCATTGTTACTTTGGATTGGCTGTGCAGGCTGCTGTGTTTCTAATTGTGAATACAGATGCTTTATTTTAAGAGATTTACTTTGACATTGGATCCATTGTATTCTTTATACTGACATAATACATAGTCTGTGTTGAATGAAAGAAATCTCTCGACAATATGCAGCTGTGTATCAGCATAAAAGCTTTAGTCATCTCCAATGATTAGTGTAGCTTCCTTTTGTCTTGTAGATTTTGTGATGTCAGGTGTTCTGTGTGATGACTTGCTTCCCCCACACCTCTACACAAACTCAAGGACATCTGTTGACAATAGAAGACCAACGATAAAAAAATTTAGACACCAGTTTTTT